CCGGAAAATCGGGAAAAACCGGGGAAATTGGGAAAAACCGGGAAAAAGGGGGAAAAAACCCCCAGGGAAATGGGGAAAAAACAGGGAAAATGGGAAAAAGGGGAAAATAGGGGGGGAAACGGGGGAGAAATGGGGGAAAATGGGGAAAAAGAAGTGAAGTGGGGAGAAATTGGGAATTTTGGGGTGAAATGCTGGAAAATGGGGAAAAGTGGGGGAAATAGATGGGAGGAATGGGGAGAAATGGGGCTGAAAATCAGGGAGAAACACAGAAAATCAGGGAGAAATGGGGAAAAACGAGAAATAAACAGAGAAATGGAGAGGAAATGGGCAAAATGGGAAGGAACGGGACAAAGGGGGGAGAAATGGGATGGGAAAATGGGGAAAAATCGGGAAAATTTGGATAAAATCGGGGGAAATGGGGAGAAATGGGATGGAAAGGGGGGAAATGGGGAAAATTGGATAAAATCGGGGGAAATGGGAGAAATGGGATGGGAAAATGGGGGAAAATCGGGGGAAATTGGATAAAATCGGGGGAAAGGGGGAGAAATGGGATGGAAAGGGGGAGAAATTGGGGAAAATCGGGGAAAATTGGGGGAAAATGGGGAAAAACCGGGGGAAAAAATCAGGAAACATCAGGGAAATCTGGAAAAATCGGGGAAAATTGGGAAAAGTTGGGGAAAAATCTGGGGAAATCGGGAAACCGGGGAAAATCGGGAAAACATCGGGGAAAATCGAGGAAAATCGGTAAAAATCGGGGGGAAAATCAGGAAAAATCAAGAGAAATTGGGAAAAATCGAGGAAAATTGGGGGGAAATCAGGGGAGAAATTGGGAAAAATCGAGGAAAAATTGGGAAAAAATGGGGAAAAATCAGGGAAAATTGAGAGAAACTGGGGGAAAATCGGGAAAATCGGGGGAAAATGGGAAAAAATCGGGGAAAATCGGGGAAAATTGGATAAAATAGGGGGAATCAGGAAAAATGCGGAAAAATCAGGGGAAATGGAGAGAAATTGGGAAAAATCGGGGAAAATCGTGGAAGATTCGGGGAAAATCTGGGAAAAATGGGGGGAAATCGGGGAAAACTGAGGATAAGTCGGCGAAAAGTGAGGAAAAATGGGGGAAAATTGGGGAAAAATGGGGAAAATCGGGGAAAAATCAGGGAAAAATGGGGGAAAAGCGAGAAAAAAATGGGGGTAAATCGGGCAAAAATCGGGGCAAATGGAGAGAAATTGGGAAAAAACGGTAGAATCGAGGAAAAATCAGGGAAAATCGGGGAAAAATTGGGAAAAAATAGGGAAAATCGGGGGAAAATCGGGGGAAACTGAGGACAAGTTGGCGAAAAGTGAGGAAAAATCGGGGAAAATCGGGAAAAAAACGATAAAAAATGGGGGAAAATCGGGGAAAACGGGGAAATGGGGGAAAATGGGGGTAAACCGAGGAAAAATCAGGGGAAAATCGGGAAAAATGGGGGAAAATGGGGGGAAAATGGGGGTAAACCGAGAAAAAATCGGGGAAAAAATCGGGGAAAAAATCGGGAAAAATCGGGGAAAATCAGGAAAATGGGGAAAAATGGGGGGAAAAGGGGGTAAACCGAGGAAAAATCGGGGAAAAATTGGGGAAAATCGGGAAAAATCGGGGAAAATCGGGGAACATCGGGAAAAAATGGGAAAAAATTGGAAAAAATCGGGGGAAATGGGGAAAAATCGGGAAAAATCGGGGAAAAATCGGGAAAAATGGGGGAAAATGGGGTAAAACCGGGGAACCCGGGCGAACGCGGCGCCGCGCCTGAGGCCGCAATCATCGGGACAGACACCTGCCCGCGCTGAGCTGCCAATCATCATCACCGGGACAGCTGTCAATCAATCACCGGGACAGCTGTCAATCATCGGGACAGCTGTCAGTCACCGCTAGAGACACCTGCCCGCGCTGAGCTGTCAATCATCATAGGGACAGCTGTCAATCATCACCGCCACAGCTGTCAATCATCATCGGGACAGCTGTCAATCCCCGCCACAGACACCTGCCCGCGCTGAGCCGTCAGTCATCAACGGGACAGCTGTCAATCACCGGGACAGCTGTCAGTCATCGGGACAGCTGTCAATCACCGGGACAGCTGTCAATCACCGCCAGAGACACCTGCCCGCGCTGAGCCATCAATCATCATCACCGCGACAGCTGTCAGTCATCAAGGGGACAGCTGTCAGTCATCATCGCAGGGAGAGCTGTCAATCACCGGGACAGCTGTCAATCATCAACGGGACAGCTGTCAGTCATCACCACAGGGACAGCTGTCAATCACCAGGACAGCTGTCAATCACTGCCAGAGATATCTGCCCACGTTGAGGTGTCAGTCACCGGGACAGCTGTCAATCACTGTCAGAGACAGCTGTCAATCAACGGAGATAGCTGTCAATCATTGCCTGCAGCTGCCAATCAGCACAGGCAGCTGTCAATCACAGCCAGCGGCTGTCAATCATGGCCAGGGAAAACTGTCAATCACCGTCAGAGGCAGCTGTCAATCACAGCCAGCGGCTGTCAATCATGGCCAGGGAAAACTGTCAATCACCGTCAGAGGCAGCTGTCAATCACCACAAGGGACAGGTGTCAATCATTGCCCTAAGCCACCACTCACAGCCAGCAGCTGTCAATCATCATCAATAACTGTCAGTCAGCCGGGACAGCTGTCAGTCATCATCACCAGATGCCAATCATCAGCGCCAGCTGTCAATCATCATCACCAGCAGCTGTCAATCATCAGCAGCAGCTGTCAATCATCATCAGCAGCTGTCAATCATCCCCAGCAGCTGTCAGTTATCAGCGCCAGCTGTCAATCATCATCACCAGCAGCTGTCAATCATCATCACCAGCAGCTGTCAATCATCATCCCCAGCAGCTGTCCGTCATCACCATCAGCTGTCAATCATCATCAGCAGCTGTCAATCATCCCCAGCAGCTGTCAGTTATCAGCGCCAGCTGTCAATCATCATCACCAGCAGCTGTCAATCATCACCAGCAGCTGTCAATCACCACGGACATCCCCGCTGGCCAGGACTGTCGGCTGTCAATCCGCCGCACTGACAGCTGTCAATCACCAGCCTCAGGAGCCGCCTGCCCCCCTCCCCTCCCCCCGGCACGTTGCACGCGCCGGCAGGTGATTGACAGCCGTCAATCATCCCCCCCGCCTGAGCGCCCCGCGCCGCCCGGGCCCCGCGGGTGATTGATTGACAGCTGTCACTCAGGGGAGACCGCGCCCCTCCCCCCCGTGTAACTTAATGCAAACACGAGAATATTTATGAGAGACCCCAAAATGATCCGGGACCCCAAAATAAACCCGGGACCCCCCAAAAACCCGGGACCCCCAAAATAACCAGGGACCCCAAAATAACCCGGGACCCCAAAATAACCCGGGACCCCAAAATAAACCCGGGACCCCCAAAATGACCCAGGACCCCAAAAATAAACCCGGGACCCCAAAATGACCCAGGACCCCAAAATAAACCCAGAGACCCC